TCGGACTCGAAGGACCGCGAGATGGTCAGCCGGTTGCTCCCGAGGAAGGCGCGCACCTCCGTCCTCAGCGCGGGCGGCATGCGGAGCTCCTCGAGGCTCCGGTCGTCGGCCTCGCGCGGCGGCGGCACGGGCAGGTCGTCGTGCTGGAAGTGGATGCTCTCGACCTTGGCGTCCGCGTGGGGCTTCGCCGCCGCGGCGACGTACTCGCCGTCGTGGTTCGCGAAGACGGCGACGCGGACGAAGCCGCGCGCGCGGCAGAAGTACTTTTTCGACGACGTCACCTGGTGCCAGGCCTTGCGGAGCGACGTGCGCTCGCGGTGCTTGGCGTCGGCGGCGGCCCGGGCCGCCGCGTCGCGCGCGGCCTTGTCCTTCTCCATCTTCTCGTCGATCTCCTGGGACGCGCTGTGCTTCGAGGGGTACCGCTGCTTCTCGTCGCGCTTCTCGTCGCGGCGCCGCGCGCTCGGCTTGGCCTTGAAGGAGTCGCGCCAGGCGTCCTCGACGTGGGCGTCGGGCACGAGCGTCGCGAGGCGCCAGTTCTTGCCCAGCGTGCGGCCGCTCTTGTGGACCTTGAGCTCGTCGTGGTCGTGGGCGAGGTCGAGCTCGCGCACGGCGACGCTGCGCGGGCTGTGCCGCGGGCTGCGCGGGCTGCGCGGCGAGTTGCTGCTGGCGGCGGAGCCCATGACTTGGTGGTGACTTGTGGTGGTCGAGTCCGAATCGGTTGCTTCGTCTTTGCTGCCCGCATTGTCCAGATGATGCGGCGGAAAGCCGGGCACATTCAGATCGCGGCACCATCGTTGATTGAGGCCGATATCACTTCCAACGACGCTCCCGACTCCTCGCATTCCCGGCCTGCATCGACCGGACTTGCGAGATGGCTGCTCTCTTGAAAGAAACAAAGCAAGCGCCCCACCGGCAGCACCCCGCAACACACCCCAACAACAACACAACAACCAAGCGCCAACCCGGCAGCACCCCGCAACACACCACAACACCACTACAGCAACCATGGGCCACGGCGCGAGCACGCAGACGATCACCGCCGCCGACGAGGACCTCTACCGCCAGAAGAGCGGCCGCAGCCTCGGCCAGGCCTACCGCGCCCAGGGCCTGGGCCAGCAGGTACACCCCTGGACCGCGGTCTACCGCGTGAGCAAGTCCGCCGCGAAGCTCAAGCTCGCATCGCCCGGCGCGAAGCTCAAGGCGAAGCAGAAGGCCCTCGAGGCGCACTCCGTCGTGGGCGCCATCGACGCCAAAATAAAAGCCGACAAGGAGGCGAAGGACGCCGAGGACGCGCAGCGCGCCGCGGCGGAGTACGCCGAGAAGCGCTTTCTCTCGAAAGCCTGGCACAAGGTCGACTCGACGCGCAAGTACTTCACGAAGGCCAAAAACTTCGTGTCCGTGTCCGTCTTCCTGAGCCACGAGGGCGAGTACGTCGTCGCGGCGACGCGGCCCCACGACGACGCCGTGATCCACCCGATCCACCTCGACGGCGCGGACCTGCCGACGGCGACGCCCGTACCCGACGACCCCAGCCTCGACGAGCTGCGGAACGCGCCCGTCTTCTCCGCGAGCGCGCGCGACTGCCTCCTCAAGGGCAACCGCCTCACCATCGCGCGCGGCGACTCGGAGAACGAGCTCGTGCTCGAGGTGCTGGGCGTGCCCCACCGGCCCGCCGCCGACGTCGTGTCGCCCACGGCGCTCAAAGAGGTCGAGCGCCAGACGCTCGAGGCGTGGGAGCCGACGCCGACGACGGCGATGCAGAAGGTCACGGACGCGCGCTTCGCGGCGCTCGTCGCGGGCCTCGAGACGGACCTGCTCGTGGCCGAGTCGGCCATCGTCGACGTCGAGGCCGTCCACGAGGTCCTCGTACGGGAGGCCCGGGAGCTGCACGAGATGAACGCGCGCGACGCGGCCGTGCTCGCGACCCTGCCGGTCATCCCCAAGAAGCGCCGCAAGGCCGCCCCGCAGCACCGCGTCGTCGACCGCTGGGACACGACGTCGCCGTCGAAGAAGGCCCACCGCGCCGCGACGACGACGCCCGCGTTCTTCGCTTAAAACACATTTCTAACTCGCCTTACGGAACCGCAGGAGCGTCGTCTCGCGGCCGCCGCGCTTGTAGTCGGCGTAGGTGACGACCTCGGCGAACCCCGCGTTGCGCAGGGCGCCGGCGCCGGCGTCGTCCTTGGCGTGGAGCGGCGCGTAGATCTCCGCGGCGTCGCCTTCGACCGCGAAGACGCCGAGCGCCGCGTCGACGGCGACCCGCGCGAGCTGCGCGCCGATGCCCCGCCGCCGGTGGCCCTCGGCGACGACGAGCTCGCAGAGGATCCAGGCCCGGCCCGTCGTCTCGCGCGTCCGGTACTCGTCCGTCGCCTCCAGCGACGCGAATCCCACGAGCGCCCTCTTGTCGTAGGCGGCCCAGACGAGGGCATGTCCGCCCGCGACGCGGCCGAAGTGGTGGCGCAGGGACCGCACGTCGCCGAGGAAGTTCGTCGCGGCCTTGCCCTCCTTGAGGCGGAACTCAAAGAGCTTCTCCGTGTCCGTCTCGGCGGGCAGCCGCTTGTAGCGCAGGCCGCCGACGGTCGTCGACGCCGTCGGCGTCGGCGTGCAGCGTATCTTTGGCGGCTCCGGCGTCGGTGTTTCGTCGTCGTCGCTGCCGTTTTGGGCGGGCTGCATGGCCGCCATCACAAATGGGCTGGGAAACTTGAATTCAACAACTCGCCGATGCCGTCCAGCATCCGATGGCGCCGCTTCTGCTCAGAGCCAACATTAAGCGGCTCTTGCGCCGCCGCCGCCTGTCGACCATCGACTACGACTCGTTCCTGAGCGCGCGGTCCCTGCGGCGGCGGCCGAGCGCGATTCGCGCGCTGCAGCCCCTGCTCGCGGAGCCGGGCATGATCTCCCTCGGCGGCGGCATGCCCCACGCGTCGACGTTTCCGTTCGAATCCTTGACCGTACGATTGAAAAGCGGCAAGTCCTTCGCCGTCGACGGCGCGGCGCTCGAGGCCGCGCTCCAGTACGGGCCGACGCGCGGGTCGCCCGGCCTGAGCGCGCACCTCGAGGCGCTCCAGCGCTCGGAGCACGGCGCCGCAAACAGCATGATCTGCGCGACGACGGGCTCCCAGGACGCGCTGGCCAAGGCCTTTGATCTGTTCACGGGCGAGGGCCAGCCGCCCGTGCTCGTCGAGTCGCCCACGTACTCCGGGAGCTTGGCGTACCTGCAGCCGACGGGGGTACCGCTCGTCGGCGTGCCCACGGACGGCGGCGGCCTCGATCCGCAGGCACTCGACGCCATCTTGCGGCACTGGGACGACGACGGCCCACGGCCCCGCGTGCTCTACACGATCCCGGTGGGCGGGAACCCCACGGGCGCGTCGCTGTCCTTGGAACGGAAGCGCGAGATCTACGGCATCGCGAGGGAATTCGACCTCATTTTGCTGGAAGACGACCCCTACTACTGGATGCAGTTCGGCGGCGAGCGCACGCCGTCGTTCCTGTCGCTGGACGCGGACCAGCGCGTGCTCCGCTTCGACTCGTTTTCCAAGTTGCTGAGCAGCGGCATTCGCGTGGGCTTCTGCACGGGCCCGCCGCGGCTCGTCGAGCGCATCGAGCTCCACGCCCAGGCCTCCGTGCTCCACGGCTCCGGCGTGAGCCAGGCGCTTGTCAGCGGCCTCTTCGACGCCTGGGCGGAGGAGTACCCCTCGGCCGTCGCCGGCTTCGAGGCGCACTGCGCGGCCGTCGCCTCGTTCTACGAAACGCGGCGCGACGTCTTCCTCCGCGCCGCGGAGGCGCACTTGACGGGGCTCGCGGACTGGACGGTGCCGACGGCGGGCATGTTCGTCTGGCTCCGGCTGCGGGGCGTCGACGACGCGGACGCGTTCGTGAAGTCGAAATGCCGCGACGCGAAGGTGCTGCTGGTGCCGGGCCAGTCCTTCGACCCCCACGACGCGCCATCGCCCTACGTCCGCGCGGCGTTCTCGACGGCGTCCCACGAGGACATCGAGGTGGCTGTGGAGCGGTTCGCGGGATTGTTGCGGGAGGTCGCGTGAGTTTTATTTTATGGTTCCCGTGGCGCGGTTCGCGGGGCTGCTGCGGCTGGCCGCGCGCGTTTTAATTTCGACTTCAACTTTTAAACTTGCAGTCCGCGCGGCGAATGTTGAGGCGCAGGGGTGACTCGTCCCAAAGCAGCAGGACATCAGCAGCAAAGCGCCACGGCAATTGACGCTCGCCTGCAACACAGCCAGCCATGCGCGCCCTCCCGTGCATGCTCGCCGTCGCCGCGGCCCTCCAGCGCGCCCCGCGGCGTGTCGCGCCGCCGGCCGTCGCGGCGCGCCGCAACGTCGCGCTGCGCGCCTGCGACCAAAACCTTTCGAAAAAGGGGACGGTGACGCTCGTCGGCGCGGGCCCCGGCGACCCGGAGCTCCTCACGGTCGCGGCCCTGCGCCTGATCAGCGACCCGGAGGCGCTCGTCGTCGCGGACCGCCTCGTGTCGCCGGAGATCCGGAGTCTCGTGCAGGGCGAGCTCCGCGTCGCGGGCAAGGCGCCCGGCTGCGCGGAGAAGGCGCAGCGCGAGATCTACGACTGGTGCGTCGAGGGCGTCAACGAGGGCCGCCGGGTCATCCGGCTCAAGATCGGCGACCCCTTCGTCTTCGGCCGCGGCGGCGAGGAGATCCTCGAGTTCCGGGAGACGCTTGGCCTCGAGGCCGAGGTCGTGCCCGGCGTGTCGAGCTGCCTCGCGGCGCCGCTCGCGGCGGGCGTGCCCGTGACGCACCGCGGCGCCGCGCACCAGCTCGTCGTCTCCACGGGCTACGGCCGCGACGGCTCGTCGCCGGAGCTCCCCTACTACGACGAGAACCGCACCGTCGTGCTCCTCATGGCCGTCGGCCGCCTGGGCAAGATCGTCGCCAACTGCCTCGAGGCCCAGGGCTTCCCCCGCGACTGCCCGGCCCTCGTCGTCGAGCAGGCGTCGAGCCCGCGGCAGCGGACCGTCGTCGGCGACTTGTCGGACATCGCGGACCTCGTGCTCGAGCACGACATCAAGGCGCCGGCGACGGTCGTCTTCGGCGCCGCGGCGCGCGTGCTCCACGCGACGGCGCCCCACGGCCTCATGGACGAGCGCGCGCCCGCCGCGCGGCTCGACGTCCTCGAGACCGTCGCGGCCGCGATCCCCGAGCCGAAGCCCTACGAGTTCCTCGGCGGGAAGACCGCCGCCAAGGTCCGCTGATGGGCATCCCCCGGCTGTGAAAATCTGTTGTAAATAAAGCGAGCTACGTCGTCGTGACGAACGCGTAGGTCGCGTCCCGCTCCCGCCGTTCGAGCGCCTTCAGGTCCATGCGGTAGACGTTCGTCTCGCGGATTTCGAAGCCGCAGCGGCGGTAGAGCCGGTTCGCGGCCTCGCGGCTCGGCCGCGACGTGAGGTCCAGCGTCTTGGCGCCCGCCGCGCGCGCGAGCTCGACGGCCTTTTTCAGCAACCGGCCGCCGAGGCCGCAGCCGCGCGCGGCCTCGTCGACGACGACGTCCTCGACCCACGCGCGCGTGCCCGTCGGGATGGGGAAGACGACGAGCGTCAGCACGCCGACGACGCCGTAGGCCGCGCGCGCCGCGACGAGCGTCACGGCGTCGTGTTCTACTATTTTCCGCAGCGCGTCCGCGTCGGGCGCCTCGCTCGTCTTCGAGAGCTGCGGCGTCAGTTTCCGGAAGGCGGCGACGAGCGCGTCGTCGACGGCCGTGACGGGCTCGATGACGAGCTGCTTGTAGGGGTCCGGCGCCGCCTCCATAGCCTCGACAAAGGCCGTGACCTCCTTGACGCGCTGGAGATGGGAGGCCATGGTTGTTTTTTGCGACGCACGTCGCAGCGATGTGTTTTGGCGTCGAATGCGCTGGGAAACGCGCGTTTTGACGGCGCAGCGGGTGCCGACGCTCGACGTTGAAGTCTTAGTTGACTTTGTTGCCGCAAGCTCGCCGGCGGCTCGGCTTGCGCGCGCGCCATCGACGTCGTCTCGGCCGCGCACGCAGTAGCAACGCAACGCCTCGGCCGCCGCTGCTCGCGCTCGCAAAGAAGACCGTCGCCGAGCGCGCTCGCGAAGAACCGTCGCCGCGCGCTCGCACGACCATGGCGCCGCGCGGTCGCGGCCGCGACCGCTCCTACTCGCGGAGCTACTCGCGGTCGCGGTCGCCGCCGCGGCGCGGCGGCTACCGCGACCGGTCCTACTCGCGGTCCTACTCGCGGTCGCGCTCCCCGGCGCGGCGCGGCCGCGGCGGCGGCGGCGGCCGGGGCCGGGGCCGATCGCGGTCGCGGTCGCGGTCGCGGTCGCGGTCGCCGCCGCGGCGCAACGGCTCGCGGCGGCGCGACTCGCCGCCGCCGAAGAAGCGCTACGAGAAGCAGCGCAGCCCGAGCCGGAGCCCGTCGCGGAGCGCGAGCCGGAGCCGGAGCTCGAGCCGGAGCCGGAGCCGGAGCCGGTCCCGATCCCGGAGCTTCTCGCGGAGCCTGTCGCGGTCCAAGTCGCGCAGCGCGTCCGGCGAGGCCGCGGCGGCGCGGCGGAAGCTCGTCCAGAAGATGGGCAAGGACGACGACGCGCTGCGCCGCGCGGACGGCGCGCCCGCCGGCGGCGGCGGCGGCGGGCCCGTCGGCGAGCTCAGCGAGGAGGAGCAGATGCGCCAGATGCTCGGCTTCGGCGGCTTCGCGACGACCAAGGACGCCGAGGTCCCCGACAACCAGACGAGCGCCGCGCGCGGCGCCGTCAAGAAGAACCAGAACCGCCTCTACCGCCAGTACATGAACCGCCGCGGCGGCTTCAACCGGCCCCTCGACAAGGTCGCCTAGGGCCGGCGGCGGTAAGAGGACCTGTGCTTTCTCGTCGTGCGCTAGTTTACGCATCTTATTTTTATGCACAAACTACCGCAGTTGTTACATGTGCTCCGGGGCGAACAAGTGGGAGAACTAGAGCCCTGGGGGCGGGGAGAGGCCAGCGGAATAGCTCTTCGCGGCCGCGTCGGAGCAGGCTCAGTCGGCCTCCTCGGCGTCGCCCCCCGTGTCGAGCTTGGCGGCGATGAGTTCCCGCGCGCGGTTCCGGAGCTCCTGCTTCTCGACGAGGCCGACGAAAGTGCCGCCGGCCGTCGAGATGAGCCCCTTGAGCTCGCCGACGGACGCGTGGTCGACGCGCTTGAGCAACGTGGCGAAGGTCTCCGGGCCGACGTCGGGCTTGGGCCGGCTCATCCGCTCGGCGACGTCGCGCGCGCGCGCCTCGGCCATGCCGGCGGACGCGGGCTCGCCGCGCGCGCGCCGCGAGAGCCGGTCGAGGCACTTGAGGACCTTCGCGCGGGCTTGGGGGCCCTTGTGCGCGAGCGCCGGGTGCGTGGACGCGAGGTCCCACAGCATCGGCCAGTTCGCCGTCGCGCCGAGGTCGACGAGACACTCGATCTTGTCGACGAAGCCCTGGGAGATGGCGGCGTCCAGCGGGCCGCGGCCGTAGTCGTCGGCCTGGTCCGGGTCGCAGCCCAGCGCGCGGAGCGCCCGGAGCGTCGACGCGGGGTTCATCATCACGGCGATGCCGAGCGCCGACGACCCGTCGAAGCCCGCCCTCGCGGCGACGTCGGCGCCCGCGGCCGCGAGCGCCTTCATGACGTCCAGGCGCCCGCCGCGCGCCGCCAGATGGAACGGCGTCATGCCGTACTTGTCCATCTTCGTCCGCTGCTCGAGGTCCGCGCCGAGGCCGACGAGGCAGCGGACGACCGCGGCCGCGTCGAACGTCTTCGCGGCCCGCTTCTTGCGCTCCTTGCTCCAGTTCGGGAAGATGGTCTGCGTCATCGTCGACCCGGCGTTGCCGAAGGCGACGAGGAGCAGCGGCGTCTCCGCGCCGTTGCTCTCCGACGACGACTTGCCCACCGCGAGGCCCTGCTGCGTCTCCGCGCAGCTCGCCTCGTGCGCGTCCCCCTCCTTCTTCGCGCGCGCCGCGCGCGTCGTGTCCGCGACGATGTGGTCGATCCGCGCGTCCACCGGCACCCGCTCGTCGCGCACGAGCCGCTCGATCTCCGCCGTGTCGCCGGACACGACCGCGGACACGAGCGAGACGAGGAGCGGCTCGCCGTCCTCCTTCTTGACGCCGGTCCCGCAGACCTTCTTGTGGCTCTTCCAGGCGGCCTTGAAGCAGCCCTGGCCGCAGTAGCGGGGCCCGCCGGAGCCGCACTTGCCGCACTGCTGCTTCGCGCCCGGCCGGCCGCAGAAGGCGCACTGGCGCGCGACGGCGTACGCCCGCGCGCCCGTCGCGCCGGCCGCCGAGCCCCGGGGCGCGCCGCCGAGGTCCCGCTTGATCTCCTCGGCGTAGTCGACGTCCGCGCGCGACGGCGCGACGCCGCAGGCCTTCGAGAGCCACTTGACGATGTCGCGGTAGTCCCCCATGAGAGCGACCCCCGCGACCGTCGTGACGGCACGGCCGATCGTCGACGGCTTGGCCATGTCCGCGCCGAAGTCGCGGAGGAGCTTGAGCGCGGCGAGGTCGCCGCACCGCGCGGCCAGGATCGCCGGCACGGCGCTGCCGGCGTTGGGGTCGACCTTGCCCGTCTCCAGGAGCCAGCGCGCGACGGCGTGGCGCGCGGCGCGCGTCCACCACGTCCGCGCCGCCTTCGTCCCCTCGCGCAGGACCTCGGGCTCGCGTCCCGCGTCCGCGCCGCGGTGCGTCCCGGGCCCGACGGCGAGGTCCCGCGCGACGTAGCTGTCGTCGAGCACGCGGTGGAGCACGGAGTGGGCGTCCGCGGCGCCCGCCTCGAGGTCCGCGCCGGCGGCGCGGAGGCTCGCGAGCACGGCGACGACCAGCGCCGCGTCGCCCGTGCCGGCGGCGTCCGTGCGCGCGTGCAGCGCGAGGGTCGCCAGCGGCACGGGTTCGCTGATCATCGGCGCGCCGAGCTCGTGGAGCGCGGCGATGGCCTCCGGGCGGCCGCAGAAGACCGCCAGTTCGACGAGGGAGGGGTCGCGGCAGCTCCGCAAGTCGGCGCCGTTCGCGGCGAGCTGGCGCAGCCGCGCGACGTCGCCCGCCATCACCGCTGCCCTGAGCTTCGTCGAGGCCATGCCGATGCGCACGGGAGCCCGGCGGGCTGCGAACACCCCTTGCCGATGCCGATCGAGCAGCCGGAGTGGCAGATCCAGACGAACTTTCAGCGACTGCACGATCTGCCTCAAGATTGCCTCATCGAAGCGCGTTGCCCTCGAGATCGATGCTCCGTCGTCTCCCACTCGTGCTCGGAGCCGGAGCTGCGCGCGCCATGTCAACAACAACGAGAGTGGGCAGCAACGCCTGCTTCGGCGGCTCCTGGCAGCGCTACAAGCACGACTCCGAGTGCACGAAGACGCCCATGGCCTTCTCGGTCTTCGTGCCGCCGGCGGCGACGCCGGAGGCGCCGGCGCCCTGCATCTTCTACTTGAGCGGCCTCACGTGCACGGACGAGAACTTCGTGCAAAAGGCCGGCGCGGCGCGCGCGGCCGCGGAGCGCGGCGTCGCGTTGGTGGCCCCGGACACGAGCCCGCGCGGCGCGGGCGTCGACGGCGAGGACGACGCCTACGACTTCGGCTCCGGCGCCGGGTTCTACGTCGACGCGACGGCGGCGCCGTGGCGCGACAACTACAACATGTACTCCTACGTCACGGAGGAGCTCGTCGCCGCGGTGCGGGACGCCGCGCCCGCCGTCGACGTCGGCAGGCGGTCGATCACGGGCCACAGCATGGGCGGCGCGGGCGCACTCACAATTGCCATGAAGGCTCCGGAGACCTGGACGTCCGTGTCGGCCTTCTCGCCCATCTGCAACCCGACGAGGGTTCCCTGGGGCAAAAAGGCCTTCGAGGGCTACCTGGGCTCCGTCGAAGCCGGCGCGGCGCACGACGCGTCGGAGCTCGTGCGCAAGGGCGGGCCCTTCGCCTTCGGCGACATCCTCATCTCCCAGGGCGCCGACGACGACTTCCTCGTCGGCGACGTCGACCAGCTCCAGCCCGAGGCGTTCCGCGCGGCGTGCGACTCCGTTGGCCAGGGCCTCGAGCTCCGCTACGAGGCGGGCTACGACCACTCCTACTTCTTCATCGCCACCTTCGTCGACCAGCACGTCAACTTCCACGCCGACCGCCTCCTCGCGCGGTGAGGCGGCCGCGGCGGCGCGCGGAGGCGTCGCCGTCGGCCAACGCGCGCCAGCGTCGTGCCAGATCAGCAACACGATGGTGGCTAATCTCTGCGCCATCAGCCTGTGCCTCGCCGCGCTCGGCGCCGACGCCTTGCTCGCGACGCCCGGCCGGTCGCCGCGCGCGCGTCGTCAGGGAACGACGCGCCGCGCCGCCACAAAACAACCGACGAACGCCGAGTGGCTCGAGGCCTGCAAGACCTCCGGCGTCGTGTCCTACACGGACTTTGGCATCTCGCTGGCGCCGCGGGACGGTGACGACGGCGCCGTCGCCGTCGCCGAGCGCGACGTCGGCGTCGGCACGCCGCTCTTCGGGAAGAAGGCGCCCGCGGCGGCGCCGGAGCCCGCGGCGCCGCGCGTCGCGAACGCGGCCAAGGACTACGAGGACTTCAACCCGGACCAGCCGGACATCATCCAGAAGTTCGTCAAGTCGCGCGACGACTGGTGGAGCTCCGAGTCGCCCTTCCCCGGCGCGCCCGTCGCCAAGGGCTCGGGCGACTCGCCGGTCGACGCGCTCGTGCAGCTGCCGCTGCCCGCGTACTTCTGGCTCCTCAGCGCGACCGTCGGGTCCATCGCCTTCGTCGGCTGCATCTTCCAGCTCTTCTACAACGTGCCCCGGGCGCCCGTGCTCGGCGTGCCCCTCACGTCCGTCATCCTCGTGGCGTCCGGCCCCGCGTTCGTCTTCTTCTTCCTCGTCGCCATCGCCCGGGGCCAGAAGGAGGCCGACGACGACGACGCCAAGTACAACATGTAATCCTTTTAGGGCGCGGCCTCCTCGGGGGGCGGGTGGTCGCCGACGTGGCACCGCGCCCAGAGTTTGACGGCCTGCGCGGAGTAGTCGACCTTGAGGAACAGGGCCCCGTCCCCGGCGTCGTAGGCGCCGCTGCGCAGCGCCGGGCAGGCCGCGAGCGCGGGCCAGAGGTCCACGAAGTCGGCGTCGCGCTGCGCGTCGCAGTCGCCGCGGAACGTCGAGTGCCACTGCGCGTAGACCGCGTCCCTTACCGCCAACAGGAACATTTCGTTGAACTCGAAGCGTGTCGGGTGCTGGCGGAGCGCCTGCCAGACGCAGTCGAGCCACTGGAGGAAGATGGGGCTGTGGTCGTCCGTCGCGGCGTCGCGCCGCTTCGAGAACTGGTAGCCGAACGCGCACCAGTCCTTCTCGACGAGCGCCGCGAAACCGGCGACCGTGCGGTAGTAGGGGTCGAGCAGCAGCTGCGCGAGCGACGACAGCTGCGACGTGCGGTCCCAGCCGTCGCTGCAGTGCACGAGCGTCGGCGTCTTGCGCACGTGCAGGAGCTTCGCGACGAACGTCGACGCGGCGAGCACGAGCCGCAAGTTGTCGAGCCACCGGCTGCCGTGGACCTCCTCGAGGAAGTCGCCGTCGTTCTTCTCGCAGGCCCGCCGCAGCTTCGCGAGCGACTGGCGCATGGCGTGGATGTTGGGGATGTTCGCGAAGTAGACCGTGCCGCCGCCCGGGATGTCGTGCGCGTCCTCGAAGCCGCCGCCCTTGAGCGTGTTCGCGAGCGCGTTCGCGTAGGGCCGCGCGTCGACGACGGCGAGCGACGCGCCCGCGAGGCCGCAGCGCCGGATCGCGCCGAGCACCGCGAGCGCGTGGCGGTCCTTGTGCCCGCCGCTCGCCGCGCCGAGCGCCGCGGGCGCCGCGGAAGCCGCCGCGCCGGCCGCGCCGGCGACGACGTGGAACGCGCGGTCCTTGTGGTGCTCCGCGTGGGGCTGCGCGGACCGGCACAGCGGGGTTTTGGACACCGGGTGGCGCCACGTGAGCGCGGGCGTGCGGTGCTTCGACCGGCGCTTGATCTCGCCCTCGAGGGCCTCGTCGTCGAGCTCCGCGGGAACGGCGAATTGAGGCGGGTACGTCGGCGCGACCGCGTAGGTCGCGTTGTCGACGACGCGCCAGCGCGCGTCGTCGAAGACGCCGAGGCGCGCGTACTCGTCGTCCATGACGTTGCGGCGCCGTGAAACGCCCGGGAAAAGTCGCGGCGTTTCGCCCGCGAGCGCCGCGGCGGCGCGCGCGAACGCCGGCCCGAGCGCCTTGTCGAGGCCGAGGCGCAGCGCGCCGCAGTCGCCGCCCCGCAGCGTCACGTAGGCGCGGTCGCCCTCGACGTGCGGGTGCGACGCGCGCGGGCTCGCGTCGGACTGCTGCGCGTCGCGCACGTCTTTCGCGAGTTCGACGAAGTGGTCCGCGCCCCGTTCGTCGAGGAATTCGAGGAACGCGCCGCATTTCAGGCACGCGTCGGTCTGGACCGCGGCCGCGAGCCAGATCTCGAGGCCCTCGCGCCGATCGGAGATGTCGCTCGAGAGCACCTGCTTCCGCGGGAAGGGCACGTCTTTGAGCTCCTCGGCGCCGACGAGCTTGCAGACGCGGTCCCGGAGTGCTAAGAACTCGGAGTATCTTCGGGACACGACCCAGGACGTCGCGTGCGCCCGCACGGAGACGTGGTACTCGACGTGGGCGCCGCCGCTCACGGAGAAGAAGGCGCCCGGCGCCGCGGCCGTCGTCGCCTCGCCCGAGATCGTCGCCGAGAGCGACCCCGCCGGCAGGACCTGCTCCGACGCCGCCGCCGCGGCCGTGCCGCAAAAGTCGGAGCCTCGCCGGTGGACCTTCTTCCGCGTCGCGGACCGCGCGAGCTCGTTCATGGACCGCCGCAGGCTCGGCCGCGCGCCCTCGAGCGACGGCGCGCCGCACGCGCGGACCGCGAGCTGCGCCACGTGGCCGCTCGGCCCCGCTGCGCCGGCGGCAAAGCCCCGCGCGAAGATGAAGCGCGCGTCCGTGACGAGCAGCGCGCCCAGGATCGGCGCGTCGTGCGTGAAGTTCAGATCCTCGCCGCGGAAGAGCTCTTTCTCGCGCGGTGGGCCGCAGAGCTCGACGTCCTCGATGCAGTAGAGCAGCGTCTCCCAGCCCGCCGGCGGCTGGAGCACGCCCCCGTCGAGCCCGACGAGGCCCTCGTGGCCCGCGGGCAGCCAGGCCGAGAGCTCGGCGTCGATGCGCTCCATCGCGAGCTGGGGCAGCCTTGATAATCCAGGGCAGCCTTGCGCGGCATCGTCGGCCAGAAATAACCTCTCGAGGCGATGGCGTGAGCACGATCGTCTTAGCGCGCGCGAACGATCCATAAAATGTTCGCGCCGCCAACGCTAGCAGTACTGGAGAAGCGCGGCGAGGCTTTGAAGCGGCGGAGCACGCACGTCGTGCCGCGCTACATGAAGCCCAAGAACAGTGCGACGCACCACCGCCGGAAGCGGCGCCCAGCCCAGGCCCACGACGAGGAGCGGTCCGGGCGCAAGAAGGCGCCGTTCATGGACGAGAAGCAGCTCGAGCGGTCCCTCAACTTCGGCGCGGAGCGGCTCTACGCCATGATCCACGACGGCTACGGCCTCTACGACGCCACGCTCAAAGCGTGCGAGGAGGTGAACTTCAAGGCCGGCCGCGACGGCAACCTCGCCGAGGTCCACCCCGTGCAGCTCGCGGGCTGGTTCGACATGATGCTCGAGGGCCGCCACCAGCGCCGCGGCCGCCGGCGCCGCGAGAAGCGGAAGCGGCGCGGGCCCGAGCCCGGCTCCGCGCTCGAGACGTATTTACAAACCGAGGAGGCGAAGAACGCCGTCGAGGCGCCGCCGCGCGTCGCCCATCGGAGCTCCGAGGTGCGCGACGCCATGCGGGCCATGCTCGCGGCCTGGCGCGAGCAGGTCATCCTGACCCGCGAGCAGATCGCGCGCGAAGCGGAGGCCTTGAAGGAGGAGATGCGGCTCAACAATTTAAAGATGGCCGGCGCCAAGGGCGGCAAGGAGCAGGAGCGGCGCTACTACAAGTGGGTCTGTTTCACGGCTCTAAAGTTCTACCTGCGGCGGCGGCGCATCGAGAAGAAGCGCGCGGCGCGGCGCGCGCGGTTCCAGGGCGCGATCTCCCGCGCGTTGACGGACAAGCTCGGCCTCGGCCTGCCCCGCCTCCTCGGCGGCGGCGGCGACTCGTCGGCGGCGGCGGCCTACGGCGGCTTCGCGAGCCTCCCGATGAAGATGAAGTTGAAGGACCGCGGCGGCGGCGACCGCGTGTCGCGGTTCATGAACGTCGTCGAGGCCGTGCGATCCAGCGCGCAGAGCGGCGACCCGGCGCCGGGGAAGCTGGCCCTGCCCCACGGCCTCAAGCGCACGGAGACCCAGAAGGGCCGCCTCGACGCCGAGGTCGACGCCGACGACGAGCTCAGCGACGGGAGCGACGATCTGGACGCCGTCGCCGAGGGCGACGAGGACACGCTCGACGACGAGGCGTCCCTCGCGACGGACACGATGACCTTCGCGTCGTCCTGCGGCACGGAGGAGACGCGGTCCGCGGCGCCGGTGAGTCGGTTCGGCACGACCGCGGACCTCGGCCGCCGCACGGAGCGGCGGAGCTTCCGGCCCAAGGCGCCGCCGGGCCCCGTGCCGTCCTTCCTGCGCAAGGGGCGGCGCGTATTCGACCCGGGCATGCCGACGCTGCCGCCGTCGGCGTCCGCGCACAGTCTGCTGTCGGCGACGAACGTCACGTCGTTCCTCCCGCGCGTCGACTCGAGCCTGTTGCTGCGCTTCGCCGCCAAGGAGGAGCGGGACCTCGCCGCCTTCCACGAGCAGAAGGCGCTGGACCACCTCGCGCGGACGGCCCTGCCGGCCATCGACGACGCGAGCGCCGACGAGCCCGAGGACGGCGAGTCGCCCGAGGCCCCGGCGGACGAGCCGCCGGAGGCCGCCGCGGGCGGCCGCGCGGGCTTCGCCTTCCACGGCGTCTCCAAGCCGGCGCCGCGGCGGAAGTCGTCGGCGCCGCCGCGGCGCGTCGGCGGCGGCGGCAAGTTCGACTGGAAGCAGAAGGTCAAGTCCAAGCTCGTTCATCTTAGGTTCTAAGGGGGTTTAATACGAAGTCAGAGTTGCGCTATGGTTTCGGAGGTCCCGTTTTCTGATGATCGGGCTACGATTTAATCTAAGAGCGACCTGCGCGGTCCCCGTACTGCCAGATGGCGCATGATTTAATATGCCATCATCGTGTTTTTGGACCAACCATGGCCATTGAAAAACAGAATCATGCAGTCAAGGTATCTTCTGCGACCACGGTTTTCTGGGCGTCCGATGCAGCGGTTCCAGGACTTGGCGCGGCGCTCGGTCTGTGGACCATGCCGCGCCTCGGGCCCGACTGCGAGTCGCTCGGGAAAGACCACCGGTCGATGGCGAGCAACTTGGTTCGCGTCGGGGCAGCCCGTGGATGACGAGAACGGCCGTTAACGATGGTGGGCGACCGACGAGGGGCCCAACTTAGTTCCAGAGGTCGAGCGGTGCGCTAGACCCTGGGTAAGCCACCCCTGGAATGTTTTCCCGGAGGTCTCTGCTTAGCACTGGCGCACCGAACGTCTCATTCATTGCGCGGTGAGCACCGTGTCACCCGCGGCGCCGCGCGCCCGTCGGAGGCGCTGAGATGATCTCGATCAAATCGACTCGAGCCGAGGAGCTGTCGCGAGGGCATCTGGTGGCCCCCATGACGAACGATTCCCGACGCTCTGTGGCTCGAAAGCGACCCGAAATTGGGTCGGGGGAAGCTGCCGAGCCTCACTGCACCCCCTGAAGCTGCCCGTTTGCGCCACCTCGCAATCGTTTGGATGTCGCGTCTTCGCAGGTGCCTCGCCCACATGTTTGCGGACCTCGAAGCCACTGGGATCGTTGCACGTCCCTTCATATTCGCGGAGCTCTGGACGTCCAACAGTTCACCAAGCATCTCGTCGGTCGAGCGCAGCGATGCGGAGATGCGATGCGGACCGGGCTGTCGAGGTATCGTTGTCGTCAATGTTGACGAAATTCAATGGCTATGGTTGATTTAAAATGGAATTAAATCGGCGCGCAGGTTGCCGGCGCCGGCCAGCCTCCGGCGTCCCTTCTAGCCGACGTAGATTAAATAATCCAGCGCGACGGCGTTGTGATTATTTCGCAGGGACATCGGCGTCGGCAGATCGATTTGTCTCCCCTTCGTTCCCTAGTCTACAAGCTCGTGGGGGTGCACGATATCCCGAGCGAGGGGAACCTGCTCTACTAATTCAGGTCGCTGTGCTTGTCCTTGGATCCAACCGGCGGAGATACTTAAAAACCATTAGCTCTTCCGCAGGAGGTCGAGCACGGCG